TTACCATGTTGGTCAGGCTGATCTCGAACTCCTGACCTTGTGATCTGCCCACTTCAGTCTCCCAAAGTGCTTGGATTACAGGCATGAGCCACCATGCCTGGCCAGAAATGAACTCATTTTCATTATAAATTACCCAGTTTTGGGTATTCTAACAGCAGAAAACAGGCGGAGGGTCTGAACGTAGCTCCATTTAACTCTTTCCACGACACCGCCTGCCTTGCTGAAGGAATGGGGAAATGTAAGCAGCACTGGGAAGGCAGCAGGCTGGGCTCCCTGTTTGGCTTCTGACAATATGGCCCCGGTAGGGGCTGGTTTCCTGTTTGCCCCCACCCAGGTGGCATCCGTGAGAATGCCTGGCGCTCACACACCCGCAGGTACTCACATCAGGTGTTCGCATGCCATGTCTTTGGCACTGCTGTCCGTCGTGGGAGCCACCGGAGGGTCTTGAGGCCTTTCTTCCTTGTGGGCTGTATTAGAGGGACACGTGAATGTTGTGAGAGGAGGCCGTCCTTCCCCTTTGCTTACAAATGCACCTGTGTCTTTCACAATTTGCAAATCCTGCCTCCACCTGTAGTGCTCTCCGCCTTGTGAGACCCGCACGTGTTCCACGTCACGGGCTGAGGGCTCTCCCCAAGTGTGTGGCTATGTGACCTTCCCAGCTACTCTAGAAGGCAGGGACCCTCAAGTCCACTCACAGACAATGAAAGGGGCACCAGAGTGATGGAGGCTGCTGGCGACCACTCGGCGAAGCTGGTGAGCAGTGCGGCCTCAGCCCCTGGTCCCACCGCCTGCCCGCCTCTCTCAAAAGAAGAATCTGTGTTTAGGGCCTTCCACTGCTTTCCTCCCACTTACACCTCAGTGCACCGCCTCTGGTGTCCTGGCTCACTGCTCAGTCACGTGTTCACTCACGTGTTTACTCCTTCAACAAACATTTGTGGAGTGCACATTGGCCTAAGTGTGGGGGTGACAAAGATGCAGTCGCCCTTCAGGTCCCAGCTCAAACTCAAACACCCTTCCTCTGACCTGGACTCTGGGTTCGGAAACTGAACCCCGCTTTTCGTCCTCATCACGGCGCCCTATTTGTCTGGGATCACCTGTCAGGGCAATAATTTTGTTACGAGGAGGACAAAAACTGGCTTGTCCGTCACTGGATCCTGAGTGCCCACATGAGACTGGAACATCACAGAAGCTTCACTGAGAGAGATGAATGAATGAATGAATGAATGTAGTAAGTCCTGATGGACTGCCAACTTGCTGGGGACTAGAGCCGTGTTTCTTAACCAGGAGTGAGTTTGCCTGTAGGGGACATTGGGCAATGTCTGGAGACATTTTTGGTTGTCACAACTGGGGTAGGGGTGCTGCTGGCATCTGGTGGGTGGAGGCCAGGGAGTCTGCTAACACCCGACAGTGCCCAGGATAGTCCCATCCATGAAAAAATGATCCTGCCCCAAATGTCAACAGGGCTGAGGCTGGGATACCCTGGCCCCAGTCCTCTACTTCCAGAACTTTCTCCAAGAGCTTAATATCTTTACAATAATACAACTTACCTTGGCCATTTGGGGCCAACCAGTGCTCACAAGTCTGAGTTCTTTTTTCAGCCTCTTTTGGGCTTATTTTTTAAGGGAGAAATCCTGGCTGCTAATGAAAGTGCATTGGTCAAGATGCAAATGGTCGATGGCAGAGAGAAGCCTTTGAAAGGCCCCCGCACGAGCTGTTTTCATGTGGAAACGATGATTCCACTTCGCACTACTCTCAATGGCCCTGACAGCCCTGGTAGCCTGCGTGTCTCGCCGGCTCACTGGGTCGGCACAAAGGATGTCCCAACTCATTGCCATGACTTCTGCTGAACCTGGGCCTCGGAGGGCTTCTGACATCGTTGTGTGACAAGAACAAAAGGAGGCCTCACAGAATGAATGAGCTTTTGAATGAGGCGCTTTTCTTAACCATCAGCCCATCGGGACCCAGGGGACAATGAGAACCTGCCCCTAACACGAAGATTTCCTTGGTCTCCCTTCAGACTCACCTGGATCGTTGTCCTTCAACGTTGCAATCTCGCCTTCTATTTTTTTATGGTGCTGAGTGACTTTCTGGAGTCTCTCCTCAAGACTCACAATTGTCTGGGAGTGCTGTTTGATTTGCTCCTTATATTCCAGGATCTCTTCTTCAAACCCGTGTCTCTGCGATTCCTGCTCATCCTGGAGCGCCTTTACCCTCTGCTGCTGCAGGATTAGCTGGTTTTCCATCATGATCTGGGAAACAGTATCACTCAGTGTGATCTTGGGAGCTGGATATGATGACAACAAGGATATGGCCCCTCTGCACACACACAGGTGCTAACCTGGGCCCCACCCCAGGGCCTTAGCACGTGCTGTTCCCTTTGCCTTGTAAACTTCTTCCCCAGCTCCTTGCATGGTTGACTGCTTCTTGACTTTCAGGGCTCAGCTCCAGTGTCACCTCCTCTGAGAGGCCCTCCCTGACCACCTAACAGGAGCAGCCCCAGACACTTTCTGTTCCAGTGTCTGTTTCATTGTCCCTGAAGCCTTTAATCTTGTTTCTTTGTTTCTCATGCCCACTAGAATGTAAACTTCGTAACAGCAGAAATGTGTCTTTTTCTACTTACTGCTATGCCCACAGCATTTGATGTTTGATAAATATTTATGGAATTAATGAGCGAACAATTTCATAAGAAAAAGTGAATGAATTTGCATTTCTTTCTTTCTTTTTTCTTTTTTTGTTTTGGAGACAGAGTCTTGTTCTGTCACCCAGGTTAGAGTGCAGAGCATGATCTTGGCTCACTGCAACCTCCGCCTCCTGGTTCAAGCGATACTCCTGCCTCAGCCTCCTGAGTATGTAGGACTACAGGCATGCATCGCCACATTCAGCTGAATTTTGTAATTTTTTTTTAGGGGAGATGGGGTTTCGCCATTTGACCAGGCTGGTCTCAAACTCCTGACCTCAGACGATGCACCCACCTTGGCACCCCAAAATGCTGGAATTACAGGTGTGAGCCACTGTGCCTGATCAGAACTTACATTTCTTAAAAACAAAAACAACTTGCATTTCTTAAAAACAAAAAATTACTGATGATCCCTGAATGGCAAATCAGTTGCTCTCCCATGCCCACCCCCTCCTGAGGCTCCCCTTGGCGTTTCCATGTCAGCACCTCCAACTCGCTGCCCGCCTGCTCCTCCGACCTCACCCTGTCCTGCTCCCTATTCCCAGGTGACATGTTGGGCCGTGGCCTGTGATCTCCCCATGACAGGTACACTCTTTGCCCCAGACACACACGCTCGCTCTTCCAAGGACCCTGCCTAGGAGGCGGCCTTCCAGGTTAGGCTCTCGTCTTGCTGTCTTTCCCGAAACTACTGCGTACCCAAAGCTGGGGGGGCTTTTGAACTTTGATACCCTATCCTCGCCTTCCTTCTCTTGTCTCCTCTTCTCCAAAAAACGATTGCTCCAAGAGAACCCCCCCACAATGATCCCAGACCTCCAGACTGCCATTCCTATGCTGTCCCTAACCCATCATGTCCCCAGGCGCCCTGGCCTGAAGCGTGCGGTCTCCTCTGGCACTGTCCTCTCCTTGGCGCTCACGTCCCGCCAGCCGTTATCAAGTCCTGCCATTGTAACTCTCTCCAGCAACTCCCTCCGTCCCATGCCTCCCCCCGCCCCAGCCAAGGTCAGGTCCTTATGATTCTGGTCTATACCACGTGCCACACCCAGAGCTGTCTTCTCCAATGCCACACCCTCATGAAATGTACTCTGTGCTCGTCTGACAGATTAACCTGCATTCCTTTCTTGCCCAGAAACCTGTTGGTTGAACATATGGATGACAGAATGAATGCAACATCCAGCCCTGGTTGTGGAGGGCCTCGAATGCCGAGTCTATGCTTTAACACACTGTCTGAAAGCCGGTGGAATAGTCACTGATCACTAAATCCTGAGTGTTCTCCCTGATCCTGCGAGGACCCTGAAATACGTCTCAGAACACCCTGCAGAGAGGGCATCCTGGTTCTGTGTACCTTTCGCTCTAAACCAACACTTCTCATTAGGGGGCGATTAAGGGACACTTGGTACTGTCTGCATTTTTGGTGACCACGACTGCGGGGAGAGGGCTTCTGGCATCTGGTGGGTAGGGGACAGGGATGGTGCTAAATAACCTAAGATGCTCAGGACAGCCCCTACAGGAAAGAGCTACTTGGCCCAGAGCATCTGTCGTGCTGAGGCTGAGAAGCCCCCACCCAAACCACAGGTTCTCACAGCACTGTAATCTTCCGTGGAGAGAAAAAGTCTCCCGTTCCCGGAAGGCAGCGACCTACCATTTTTGTCTTGGCAGTTTCCAGTTCAGCTAATGTTTCATTTAATTGCAAGGCGAGGCTCTCTGCTTTTAGACTTTCAGTTGTCTTTGTTTTCTGAGCCTCTTCGACCATGGCCAGTGCGTCACTTAATTTATTATTTAAAACGTCCTGTTTTTGCTCTTTGAATTCCATTTCCTACACAAAAAACAAGTAGCAAAATAACAAGAGATTCAGGAATACATCCTTACCCAGCCCCCTCCTCCCCCACCTTCAGTGAGGGGGCAAAGTCTACTGTCTAATTATTCTGTCGATCCTTTGAAAGTACAAAGTCCATGCCTTCTCTGGAAGGTTCCAATTATTATAGAACTTGTCTTTATATTCAGCGGAGATCTGTCTCCTTGTGATTTCTGGTCTCTCAGCTCAGCTCTGTCACCTGGAGCTCATTGAGTACGTTTTATTTCTCTTTTATGAGACAGCCCTTTAAATATTTGAGGAGGGCTGTCATGTCTGTCTCTAAATCTGTTCTCCAGGATGAATGTGCCGCGTCCCTTCTCTCCTTCACTGCACACCTGCCTCCAGGATACCCCGTTTCCTCCAGGGCTCCGGCGGCCCTGTCCTGGGCACCTCTTGTCCCTCCTCCCGGAACCCGTGTTTTTGCTCTTTCACGGTCAACATTCTGTTCTTCTCCTTGAGTCCTTCCTGCAATAATGTGGAGTGTGGGCTTCTTGACTGGCACTGTGCTGGCCATCTTATGAATATTGTCTAATCCAATTTCAAATGTATTTGCAGTCCTGGGCATTTTTCAACTGTTGGTGGAGGGGCAAGCTGCTGTGACCTTTTACACAGTCATTCAGGAACGTGTACTGTGAGCCTGAAAATCATGCATGTCCTGTGACTCAGCAACTCCACTTTAGGGAATTTTTCCTAAGGACATAGAAACTGATGCGCAGGGTGGTTAAGTGAGCGTCTTCGGTACTAGTGAAGACCAAGAAACCACCTTGTACCCCGGCCACAGGGGAGGAGGAAAGAAATCAGGTTCCATCTAGCACACTGCAAACCCAGGCCACGGAACATGGTTCCATGCCACTGAGATGTTCTATGCAAAATTCAATCATTCAAATTTTTTTTTTTTTTTTGAGACGGAGTATCACTCTTGTTACCCAGGCTGGAGTGCAATGGCGCGATCTCGGCTCACCGCAACCTCTACCTCCTGGGTTCAGGCAATTCTCCTGCCTCAGCCTC